GTGTATGTGTGGGTATGTGTTGTATATGCACATGTGTGTGTGGTGCCAAAGGAGGTGCCTGGCATCCTTCACCTGACTCCTCTGAAACAGGGTCTTTTGCTAAATCTAGAGCTAGGTTGGCAGCCATCAAACTCAGTCATCTTCCTATTTTAACCTCCTGTAGTGCTGAGGTTACAGGTACAAGGTTACACTCAGTTATTTTTTTTTTTTTACAGGGGTGCTAGGGATGCTTGCACACTAAGTACTCTTACCCAATGAGCTGTCTTCCCAGACCTTTTTCTTGTTTTTTGTGTTTATTTCAGTTTTAAGTTTCTATCTTTAACAGTATGTGTAATTTTTTCCTACTGTTTCATTCTCTGAAATACTTAACAGACATAGAGAAAGAAGGCCATTTGAACGACACTAGACAGTAGTTTGCTAATCAGGGTGTTGGTAAACTTACATCATACAAGTTTGGGTTCTCTATGGTTGATAACCGATTATCATGAAAACTGCCTCAGACCTATAACCTATTACTGTTCATTTATAGACTAGAAGGGTTAGCAAGGAAAGAAATGCAGCCACTGACCACCATTTTATGAATATAGGAAGTGGACAGATTATCTGTTGTGTTGGGTATGGAGAATAGTATATGTTCAGATCAGGAGACTTAAAAAGGCATTTTTTACAGTTCTCAGGTAACCTGTGGAGTTAGGCATTATGTTTCATAAACCATTGTAGGTTCTGATGTTCTTTGGAGAGTGAGTTTTTGTTCAGTTTCCCCTTCTCTTATTCTATGAAATCCTAGGGTTTTGGTTTATGTAGTTATTTTCTGTCTTTTGTTTCATAATTCTTTTTGAGACAGATTCTTATTCTGTAACCCAAAACATGTGAAACTTAAAATCTTGAGAGAAATGCCACCACGCTCAGCTACATTGAAAAATTCTTATACTGTTGTCTGTTTCTTGATGTAATTTTTATTTCTATGGATTTTGCAATTGATTTACTCATTGGATGTACTGATCTCATCTTGATATTTGAAGGAGTGACATCTTGAATAATTCCTTTTGCTCCTCTCTCTCCTCTGATCACTCTTAATTCAAGGAATTGGATCATTCTTTCCTTTGCCAATCACTTTTTTTCAAGTGCATATGTTAACTATTTGTATCAGACTACCTTTACTGTTTTTTTTCTTCTTTTTTCAAATCAAGTGTTTAAAAAAAAATATGCTTTCTCTGTTCTCATGCCTTTTGTTGACCTACTCATTCATTCTTCTCAACCATTACTTTCCCCAGATATGTTATTTAGAAAGCTTTCAATCATACAGGAACATTGAAATAGTTGTAACTAAGTGCAATGCATTTGCCATCTATATCCCATCACTTTGTCTTTGGTGTTGCGTAAATAAGTAGCAGAGACCAGTACATCTCAACACTGTGTATTTTAGCTTGCACATCATTAGCTGAATTTAAAATTTGCATAGAGATCTTTTTTCTTTTGAGGTAGAATTTATGTAGAAAAATTTGCACAGAATTTTAAGTATACTATTGAATAATTTATTTAGTTCTGTTTCTGTGTAGACTGGTTGCCTTCTGCTAAGGAGACCTGAAACTCAGGTTTTCCTCTATGTTCACAGAAGTAGACTTCAAATATCATAAAATCCCTTACAGCCTTTTCATTATATAAATGTCCTTCACAGTAAAATGGTTATAATCAGAAGTATCTTAATTTTTTTTTTTAATGGATCATTCTTTGAGTCAACAGAAGGCTTTAGCTTGGCTAGGGTATCACATGCTGAAGATGACTCAAGGCTAGCTCTGTTTAGTAGCAGAAATCTTTAGCTTGGCTAGGGTATTGTACATGAATGCTGGATATCACATGTGCATGCTGAAGAAGATGGTCCCAGGCTATCTCTGTTTAGTTAGAAGCCTGAATCTGTGGCCAGCACAGTGATGTATTTCCATGAGCTCAGGTCAGGATAATGAGGACCCATCTCCAGAGAAAGAAAGAAAGAAAGGGGCCTGAGTATGTAGCTCATTCATATCGTCATTGCCTTATCTATTGTGCAGCCTTGGGTTCAGCCCCAAGGACCATAAAAGACCACAGCCTAGAATTATAATTAAAGGTGAGGAATGGCCTTTTGCCAGTTTATTAAGTTACATAAGTACAAGAGGTAATTAAAGATATTTTAAAAAGCCAGGCAGTGGTGACACACACCTTCAATCCCAGGACTGAGGAGGTAGGGCAGGTGAGTTCCAGGACAGCCAGGGATACATAGAGAAACCTTGTCTCCACAAAACGAAACAAAAGAGACTTTCTGGTCAGCAGTAAGTAGTGGTAGTGGCACATACCTTTAATCCCAGCACTTGGGAGGCAGAGGAGGGCGGATTTCTGTGATTTCCAGGTCAGCCTTGTTTACAGAGCTAGTTCTAGGACAGCTAGAGAGGGTTGTTACACAGAGAAACCCTGTTTAAAAAAAAAAAAAAAAAAAAAAGAGGAAGATATTTCTGGAATACTTGGTACTTTTAAATCTATTGTGATTCATTTGAGCCTTCGTGGAGAAAGATTGGAGACCTCTAAGAAAATTCTTCCATACTTTTCAATAAATAATTTATCAGTTGTTCCTTTCAGAGAGGAAAATTTGTTTGCTTCCATTCAAATGTGATTTATTTTTTAAAGTGAAGAGATAAGTCGTCCTCAGTCCTAATTTGTTTTGTGCTTTGAGAAAGGGTCTCACTGTGTAGCTGTGTCTAGCCTGGAACTCAGGCTGGCATCAAACTCACAGAAAAATTCATGTGCCTTTGCCTCCTCCCCTCCGGGATTAAAGGTGCATGCCATCAGGCCTAGGATCCACCTTTACTGAGGAATGTAAGCTGATTTAGGGCTAGAGAGGTGTCTCAGCAGTTAAGAGCTCTTTCTGCTTTCAGAGGGCCCTGGTTCAGTGGCCAGCACCCACGTGGTGGCTCACAGCAGGCTGTTGCTCTGGTTCTGGAGTTCTACTGCCATCTTCTGTTCTCTTCAGGCACAAGGTACACATGTGTTACATAGACATTCAGGCAATTACTCAAATCTTAAAATAAACAGACAAAAAAGTAAGCAAGCCCTAGGTAATAAGTTCTGTCAGAAAAGATAGGATTGGCATGAATTTTTATTTGGAAAAACACTTTTGGTGGGGTATTTGTGCTCAATTTTCTCGAAGCAAGTAAATTCAGGTACATTAAAGTCACTCGTATTTTTAACATAGCCTATTCTAAGGAGGCAAACTAACTTGCGGATCTTGGTGTGTCTTATTGTAATGAAATGTCTCCAGTTTCTTCTCTTAAAATTAGGAAAAAAAAACATTTGAATTACTGGGTATTGGGTTAAATGAGCTGTTTCTCAGCAATATATCTAGAAAAGGGGGGGTATCATGCTGTTTGTCATGCATTTTGCACTCTGTCATGGGGTGGATGTGATAGAAATTGAACCCAGAGCTTGACACAGCTTTTGCAGCTGAACTGGACTCTCTCTCATGGGCATCAATCTCAGGTTAGGTTGTCTTTATCATCCCTGTTATTAAATTCTAGAAGAAGAAGTTTGTCTTTCCTCTATAAGTAGGTGTATCTAATAATAACAATTGTAATAGGCTCTAGATATATGCTTTTTAAGAATACAATTTTGTTGGCATATATTCATAGGAACATTTCATACATGTATATATATATATTATTGTAATTGTGTTCTCTCCCATGCTTTCTTCCCCCAAGTTAGCTCCTTTTGTTCCTTTAGACAGTTTTGCTACTAACTCTCATGATTATGTATTTATGTATGTGTATATATATGTACATACATACATACATATGCTTTACACACATACTCATATATATGTAGGTGGATTTTCCCTTTGGCCCCAGTTCACAAATAATGATGACATGGAGCATGGAGACTTACTATTAATTATGAAAGCTCAGCCTTAGCCTAGGCTTGTCCTATTAGCTCTTATAACTTAAATTAACCTGCTTATATTAATATATGTTTTACCATGTGACTTTTTACCTTTATTTCATTCTGAATGTCAGACTCCCCGAGTCTTCATGGTGTCTCCTTCGAGCTTCAGTTAATCATTTTCCTCTCTCTGCCTGGAAGTCCCACCTATTTCTTTTGCCTAGCTATTGGCCTGTTCAGCTTTTTTATTATACCAATCACAACAATACCTCTTCACAGTGTACTAATATCCCACAACACATATATCTGATTTTATGTGCATAGGTACATTTTTGTTGTTTTATTTTCGAGACAAGGTTTCTCTGTAGCTTTGGAGCCCATCCTGGGACTTGTTCTGTAGACCAGGCTAGCCTCAAACTCACAGAGGTCCCGGGGACCTCTCTCTGCCTCCTGGGTGCTGGGATTAGAGGCTTGTACCACCCCTGCCTGCTGCATAGACACAGCCTTCATTGCTTGACTGCCTGTTTGTCACTACATCTTCAGCACTTGTAGTACCTGGCCAAAGCTAGAACTCAGATATTATTGCATGAACAGTGCTAGCTATAAGTAACTGCAGAATAACAAACCTCCAATTCATTGTTCTGTGTGTTGTGATTTAATTGGAGTTGGTTTTTAAATTACACTAAAAAGCAAATTTGTCTTTCTGTTACTTTAAAGCTCAATATTAAAATTTTGTCAGTATGTTCTAAAACTTCAGGCTAAATGCCTTTTCTGGAATATCTTTCATTATTAGAAGTAGATTTTAGAAAAAGCCATATTAATTTTATTTTGTTAAGTATAATTACAACTTGATTACTGTTTTCTGAACTAAGAGAACATATATCTTGTGATATAGCTGAGTGAAGTTAGCAAGTTGGTAATTGATATAAATTTAAATATTCTAAAATGCACTGAGATAATTTGGTAGTGAACAAAGAAACTCAGTCACTGATTTGTTTGAAGAGAAATAGAATTGCAGTGTCAAAATTGAATGTTTGAACTAAGTCTTAAGATTCCACAAGGAAAGCACCCTAACTTACTGTTTTTGTTTATTTCAGGGCTGAAGACGAATAAACTCATTTTTTCAGAGTTAAAGAATTACTTAAAAAAGAAACAAGATGGGGACGCCTGGTTCTGGAAGGAAAAGAACACCTGTGAAAGATCGATTTTCTGCAGAAGATGAAGCTTTGAGTAGCATCGCTAGAGAGGTATGTGCTGAGGAGCTCAGAGGATGCACACAGATACTGGGGGGGGGCAGCATTAGAAGCACAGGGGATGCACACAGATGCGGGGGGGGGCAGGCATTAGGACTCTTATTTATCAGATATCTGTAAGATATTTGTTAGGAACAAGACATTATAGTTGGCCTTTCACAAGCTAATAAATGTGTCCTGGTAATGTGTTCTTAGAATTGGATCCCTTCTGAATTTGATTCTCTGAGAATTCTTGAGATTAATTTTTTATTATAATTATGTGGGTTCTGTATGTTTCAGGCACATCACATAGGATACTTAGAATTTTGGAGTTCTGAAAACTGTGGTAAGGTTCACTGGGGCCTCATAGCTCCCAGAGTTACTGGGTGAATGTTGACAGAAACTGCAATCTGAGGTTGCTTTTTGAAACATTGTAGTGGACATTTATTTACTTGTTTATTTTTTGTGGTTGTCTTTTGAGAAATTGTTTCATGTAGTCCAGGCTGGCCTTGAACTCCCTCTATAGCCAAGGATGACTGTGAACTTATAGTCCTCTTGTCTCCACCTCCCAATGCTGGGATTACAAGCATGTGTCACCATATCTGGTTTATGTGGTGCTGGAGCCAGAGCCTAGGGCTTTGTCCATGCTAGGCAAGCACCACCAACTGAGCTGGATCCTGTGTTTTGCTGGACTCTGGGCCTTGCTATTTACCAGCAGAGCTTCTAGGTTGCTTTTGTTTGTATTTGTTGATAACTTCAGGCAGTGTGGGGTGGAGAGGATGGAGAAATGGGATGGGACACTGCTTTTGGATTCTTTGAAGCATCTCCTGTTGTATTTGGGCATTAGGGTAGCTCTTGTGTTTCAGACTCTGACTGTAGCTGCACACTTGACCTTAGTAAAGGGCTCATTTAGGGTTAGCATTGTTTCCTCTTGAAAGTTAGTTAGCGTTTGAATTATGAATAAAAACATTTAATTGTGTTTTTATTTGTATGAAATGCCAGGCTAGGCAAATCCATAGAAGTTAATGGATTGTGATACAAGAACTCGGAGCATTAGGGAGTGATTTCTCAGGTGTATGGGTTTCTTTGTGTGTGTAATGGAACCTCCTGGAATTTGATAATAGTGATGATTGTAAAACTCTATGATTAGACTAAAAACACTGAATGACATACTTCAGAAGGGTGAACTTTTAGCAGGTATATATAAAACTATTAAAAACTTTTCAGTTAGGTAAGTTGGCAGTGATATCCCTTAGTTTTTTAAATTTGAACTTTTTTGCCTTTTCTCACGTAGCCTACTAGCCTGGTCTCAAATTCCCGATGTAAACCTTAAAATTCTGACTCTCCTGAGTCTGTCCTGTTCCCCCACTCCCATTGTAAACACTGATTTGCGTCACCACACTCTTTTAAAGTTACTTCTTCTTGTGTGTGCACAAACATGAAGGGCAGAGCGTCTTCCTCAATTGCTCTTTTCCGTGTTTTTCATTTTGAATGTGTGTGTATGCCACAGTGTGCCTGTGGCGGTCAGGCCAGCTTTCAGGAGTCATTTTTCTCTTCTTTCTGTGGGGTCTGGGGCTCAGAGTCACATCATCAAGCTTGTGTGTCAAATGCTTTTTTATTTATGTTTGAGGGAGGGTCTCTTACTGAACCTGGAGCTGGCCAGTTTGTCTCTCCACCTGCTCGGTGCTAGGTTACAGGTGTGTAATGCTTTTAATGTGAGTTCCAGGGACTGAACTCTGGTTTCCATGCTTGTTTAGCAAGCATTTTAGTGTAGAAGCCCAATTCTATAGAAGAGTATTTGGAGTAACATTATCTAAAAATTGAGTAGTAGAGTATTAAAGAAAAGTTAACTAAAAACTGGCTATAAAATTGCATTAGAAGCTAGGTATTTTTTTAAAACTAAAAATGGTATTTTAAAGGTGAAAAAAAAAAAAAAAAAACTCCACAAAAACCCAGTCCTTTCCAGTGATCATAAGTATTTACGTAAGTTATATACTTTTAGGTAAAACTTAAAATTACTGAAGTGTTTGGTTTAAAATTGGAGGTGGATTAGGGAGAGAGTTAAGTGGTAAACGACCTTGTCCCACACCCTGACATGTTCATATCCCAGAAACTCATGTAAAGAGTCAGATGTGGTAGCAAGCATCTGTAATCTTTTTACACTTATGGTGAGATGAAAGGAGGAGGCAGGAGGATTGCCTGAAAACTTGAGGGCCAGCTAGTCTGAAGTACATAGTGCAGAGACCCTGCCTCAGCAAGGTGGAGGGCAGGAACCACTCTCAGAATTGTCCATGGAACCTGCACATGTGACCTGGAGCATATGTGTACATACCACTACACCACTACCAACACACACACACACACCACCACCACCACACATGTGGCCTGGAGTATATGTGTGTAATACACACCATGCATACATGCACTCTAGACATGTGGTCTGGAGCATATGTGTATATACCATACACACTCACTTATACACACATACCCCTACACACATGCCCTGGAGTATATGTGTATAACACATGCGCACGCACACACACACACACACCCCTACCCCTATCTCTACATATGTGCCCCAGAGCATACATATGTGTATATACACCATACACCACATGTACAGGGAAATAGAATCAATTTTCTACAAATATGTGATCGTTTACCCTCCCCTCCCTTTTTTTTTTTAAACAATTATATATGACGAGTGGTACCTGAGAAGAAGTTGAAGCCTCTAGAAAGGATTGCGGCTAGCCATTTTTTCTGTAAATATATTTATTATTATTTTTAAGAATCTCAAATGTATTCAACATATAGTGCTCATATCCACCCCTCATTACCCCCAGCTTCTCCACAGCACCCCCCCTCTCCTTCCCAACATCATGTCCTCTTTTTTTTTTTTTTTTTTTTATTTAAATGACCCACTAAGTGCAGTTAGTGCTGCCTGCCGGAGCATGGGCAACCTAGCAGGGATCACACCCCTGAGAAAACTAGCTCTCCCTTTCCCATCGGCTGCCAGGAGATTTCTAGCTAGGGTGGGACCTCGTGAGTGCCTCCCCAGCTATGCAGAAATGTTGACTGGCTTGATTTTGGTAGGTCTCGGGTGGGCATCTCCAGCTGCTGTGAGTCCCTTAAGTGTCAAGGACCCTGTTGTGTCTAGGAGACACTGTTCATAGCAGTCTTCCCTGATTCTGACTCCTAACAATTTTCTTGTAGGCAACCTTGATTCTTTTTAGTGACTGTGTAATATTCCATTGTGTGTGTACTCTTTTTATTTATATGTTCATCTGCTGGCTCTGCTTTATTGGATTACCATCTATTGCCTAAGGACATAATAGCCATTCAGGCATCTAGGAGAACCGGAAGTTTGTGGGTTTTGATTATAGGTTAACATCCTAAGGAAAAGGGTACAAGAAGGTGGATAGGTAAAAGGACACTTTCTAGCAGTGGTTTATGGCAGGGCAACCATAAGAGCTGGTCAGAGCTGATGGTAATATTGCTACTCTCAGTAATTGATTTATTTTTAGGTCATGGTAAATAAAAGATTAAAAAAAATTTTTGGCAAATACAAAAGCTTTCTTAAAATGTGAAAAATTACTATAGTCAGCAGGAATTATGAGTATTAATTCCAGCTTTCATTTAAGGCTATAGCTTCTTTTTAAAGCAAACATGAACTTCGGTTTTTTATTTCTCTGTCTATGCTGGGACTCACTAGGTAGACCAGGCTGGCTTCAGACTTACAGATTCACCTGCTTCTGCCTTAATAAAGGCATCTGACACCACTTGGCTGTTTGTTTGTTTGTTTGTTTGTTTGTTTTTAAAGACAGGCAAAAATTGCTTGCTGGCTGGCTGGGAGCTTGCTGTGTAGACATGGTCTGCCACACCTGGGAATGTTGGACTTCAGCACACATTTATTAAGCACCTATTGTGTGTGGACACTGCTATGTTTAGAGGGTATGGAGTTGATGATTCTAGCTTTGATTCTGGAGAGGAAGTAGACACTGAAGACCATGTAGTGGAATCTTCCTCAAATTTCAGATACTTAGCAATTCTTTTTTGTCTTGAAAACTGGTTATCTGTATGCTGTAGTCACTTGCGTTCTTAGAATTGAGGAAATATGTAATATGTGTATTTATAACTTTGTTAAGTGCTTTGAGAGAACAGTAAACAGTTTCGTTAAAGAGTGTGCCACAGGGGACATGTTTGAGGGCCTTGGGAAGGCTTCCTGGGAGGAAATGGCCTTTCACCTGAGGTTTGAAGGATGAGGGATATTCCCCCAAGGGAAAGGGAGTTGTCCGAGAACTTTTCTTTGCAAGCTTGTGAGGCTGAGGCTGAAGGATTGCAGTAGCTAACATTTATTCAGTGTTCACGTTGCACCCTGTTTCAGTACTTTAGCGAATAGCTCCAGGCCTTTTTATGTATCAGTATTTCATTGGTGACCAATATACAAGCCATGGAGGCATCAAGCAACCTTGCCAAGGGCATGATGGGTTAGCACTGGAATGTCCCATGGCTTATGTCCTCTTAACTATGGTGCCTCTAGTTATCTTGGGGTGACAACTGAGACTGAGAAGAGGAATTAGCTAATCAATTTAGTGGTTTGCAGCTAGGGGCTAGTTTTGTTCTTTGGGGATGTTTGGCAATGTATGTAGACATTTGTGTCTGTCACAGTGAAGGGTGGTGTGGGGAAAGTGCCCTGGCAGCCCTGGGTAGAGGCTGAAGCTGTCGCTCAACTTCCCAGAGCACGGCTCAAGCGTTAGCAGTGATGGGGCTGACAACCCTGGCGGTGGACTCTCAAGGATTATGTTTAGGAGATTTAGTCTGTCCTAAAAGCTATGGGGAAACATTGAAGGTTTTTTGCAGGGGAGTGACATGATCAAAAGGATGACTTACTATAGGTTGGAGATTGTATCAGAGAAGAGACACCAGTGGGTGCAAGGAGGTGAGTCATGAGCCATGGGTAGTGGGGTGGCTGGAATGAGGAGCTAAGCAGTTGGTGCTCTGTGAATGGCTATGGA